TATATATATATATATATATATATATATATATATATATATATATATATATATATATATATATATATATATATATATATATATATATATATATATATATATATATATATATATATATATATATATATATATATATATATATATATATATATATATATATATATATATATATATATATATATATATATATATATATATATATATATATATATATATATATATATATATATATATATATATATATATATATATATATATATATATATATATATATATATATATATATATATATATATATATATATATATATATATATATATATATATATATATATATATATATCAGGGCTCAACAATAAGGACTGCCCGGTGGCCAGGGCCAGTGTGAAAGACACTCGGGACAGTAGACAGGATTGTTACTGGCCCCTATCGGCCAGTAACGATGAGAATGTTTTTTTTTTTTGTTGTTTTTTTTTTGTAACCTGGTAACAACCAGTACAGTGAAAAGATGGCAACATGGTGGCAAATTTAAACAATGAGGCTAAAAGAAAACGTTTCTAAAGGCTTAGAAGCAGACCATTACATGGGTACAAAATTAAGAAACTGAAAAAAAGAACAACAAAAAAACAGTTGTCAGTTTGGCAAGCCATTTTTATAAAAAGTTATTTAGAATTGCATTAAAACACCAGCACATTTTTCATACTGCTCTTGAAAAAATCTTGAATCTTGAATTTTGCTCATTATACATTTATTAACATATTTAAAATGTTTAAATTCTAGATTCACAGGCATAATTTTGCCACTATTTAAAATATGTGGCTAAGAAATAGCTATTAACTTTTTAGTTTTTTTTGGTGGGGCTAGTGAAAATTTTGACAGGGCAAGTAAAAATCTTAAGCAATGGCCCGATCGGACCCGTATAAAAAATCATTAGCGTTGAACCCTGTATATATATATCCTCAATTCCTTTATACAACTATCTTCTTCTGGAAGAAACCCTTCTCCTCCCCTTCTTCCACCTTTATCCAGAATGGGTGGCACGGTGGCTCAGTGACTAGCACTGTTGCCTCACAGCAAGAACATCAATGGTGTTGGGTCCTCGCTGGGCCATCTGGTATTTCTATGCGGAGTTTGTATGCTCTCCCCGTGTCCGCGTGAGTTTCCCCCGGTTTCCTCCCACCATCAAAATGTGCTCTATATTATAGATAAAATAAGCCTAAATCTTTTTTCTAATGTCTTACTCTCAGGAAGTTGGCCTTGGCCTCAGCAGCGGGGGAATTTGAGATCAACCTGAGCTCAGTCTCCATTCACCATGCGAAAAGGGGGAGCACTGGGCTCTAGGATCTCTTGGGCTCAGGGCTCTCTCCCGGGACAGCATGCCAAACATGCTATATATAAATCATGAGCTAAGTGTGAACTCTTGAATGAATTTTAAAACTGGCTATGATACACTCGACAATGCTTTGAAGTTTCCTGGGAAGTGTCACACACACAAGGCAAAAGTAATGTGTAATACTCCCTCCTTTAGTTTTTTCTGTAAAGATTAAAAACATATTTTAGAATTCTTTGACCTCAATTATAAGAAACAAGAGGGCTATAAAAATGATCTGTACAATCTAATCATTTAAATATGATGGATCCCCTCATATATATGTGAATTGCTTTTGTTTAATGTGTGTTCTGCCTCACTAAGTTTTGTATGACTGTTATGTTATCATATAATGTTGTATGCTATCCGCTTGTTAAGTGGTGACGTATGTAATACTGTTTCCGGGTCCGAGCCGCACTCATTTGAGTTGAGAAATCATTCGTTTATGATCACTTTTTATTCATATCACACATTAAAGTTAATTTGATATAAAGTCATAGTGTACACAACAATCTCTGGGCTTTCTGCATCATAAATACCAAAATTTAAACAATTTATAAAAAAATTAATTACTTTCTGCCCATCGGATATTAGGCATGGACATATATTGAGATTGTGACTTTCTAAAGTATTAAATCGATTTGTCAACATTTATTATTACCATTTCACGGGTCTCCACATTCAGTTGAATAGAGTGCTTGGACCCCATAGATATATACACTAGATATCGCATAGGGACCCTGAGCATGCGTCAATAGCGCTGCCATATTGGTACAGTGCTCCCAGGACAAGTGTCATTCAACCGCACTAGTCAAGACAGTGTTATTACGCGAAGATGCTGGACTTTAGCGCTGTCTACGGGTGTAGTAACGAGCAAACAAAGAAATCAAAGCACAAAGGCAGAACATTTCATAGGTAATATTAAGTTTTTTTCTGTTTTTGTATGTTCTGAACTTTTGTGCTAATCAGGTAACGTTATTGATGATGACAGTCACTTACTGCATTCACCATAAGGCAAAGCAGCTCCAACTCGCACTAAACACTCGGCTTATGCTAGTTTTGTTGAATAAAATCAGCAAACAATGCAAAAGAAATATGACAACGAGATGCTGCGCTGCCAGAAACTTGTATTATTGTCGGCTAACGTTAGTGAAAGAGACGTTCGGGGGATTCATTCACAAACGAATCGCTCCCTCCATCAGTATGAGAAGTGAAAGCAGGAGAGGAGCTGTGTTTCAGGACATGATTAGATCAAATTTAACAGGCAGGGTGGATAGTAAATTTCTGTACACACAAACACAAGCTTTTTGTCAGGAATGCCTGTGCGGTCACTGATCCATCTATGTAGAAAAGATATAATTTTCGTAATTAGAAAAAAAACATTACATACTAACATCCAGGAAAACTCCCGATCATAGATATATGTGTATATCTCTGGCTTTGGATGGCCACAGTCCTCCACTGTACCTTGGTCCCGCATTCATTTCAAAGGAGCGCTGCCCTGTACCAAGATGGCGGCTCTATTGACGCATTCTGTCCAATAGACAACAATAGGCCAGGCAACATCTAATGTATATATCTATGCTTGGACCCGGAAGCCGCTTCTTGTGACGTCACACTTAAGAAGCGCATAAATAAAAAGCAAATGAGAAGAATCTTGAAGGGGCGGGGCATGTCAAATACTAAAGAACATTTGATTGGTCAGAAGATTCGATAAGAAAGAGGTGATGTCAAAAAAGTCATTGATCCAATTTTAGGGTGAAGTGGAAAAACTGCAAACTTTAAATTATTATTTTTTTAATGTAATTTGTGTCAGTTTTTGAGCACACTAGCTTATGGATATTCTTAAAACTAACATACTGATACGTCTAAAAAACATCAATTTGATTTCATGGAGACTTTACATTTCATTGAAAAAAAAACCCAACTTTGGGTTTGCCTATTCGAACCAACAACCCAACATTTTTTTGAGTGTAGCTTCCCAAAAATAGGCCTTCTGGAATCAAATCGAATTTAAATATGGTCAAAATATACCGCTGCTTGACTTCTAATTACAAACACTGGCTAAGAAATGAAAGCATTGTGGGATTGGAAGACTGCGTGTGTGGTTTGACAGCATTCCCATGATGCTCTCTGTGCCAGTGATGTGACAGGGGGATGGTTTTCTTACATTTCCACCCTTAAAGACACAAGAGTATGAATGTGCCTTGTGACTGGTCTGAACACAAAAAGGAGAAAATTCGGGCTGCAGAATTAAAGGGCTAGTTCACTCAGTTTATTCACTATTTTATTCACCCTTGAGTGGTTCCAAAGAAGCTATTTTGAAGAATGTTGCATACCTGTAACCATTGACTACCATAGTGTTTTTCCTAATATTTTTAGAAAAGAAGATATTTTGAAGAATGTTGCAAACCTGTAATCATTGACTACCATAGTGTTTTTCCTAATATTTTTAGAAAATAAGATATTTTGAAGAATGTTGCATACCTGTAATTATTAACTTTCATAGGATGTGTTTTTTCTACTAATGTTAAAAAAGAAGCTTATTTGAAGAATTTTGCAAAACTGTAACCATTGCCTTTTATAGTGTGTTTTTCTTAATAATGTTTTAGAAAATAAACTATTTTGAAGAATGTTGCAAACCTGTAACCATTGACTTCAATATTATTTGTTTTTCCTACTAATATTATTTTACAAAGAAGTTATTTTGAAGAATGTTGCAAACCTGTAACCATTGACTTCTATAGTATTTGTTTGATCTATTATTTTAGAAAAGAAGCTATTTTTGAAGAATGTTGCAAACCTGTAACCATTTCTATAGTATTTGTTTGACCTATTATTTTAGAAAAGAAGCTATTTTGAAGAATGTTGCAAACCTGTAACCATTAAATAATGTTCTTAGAAAAGAAGATATTTTTTAAAATGTTGCCAAGGTGTAACATTGCCATCCATAGTATGTTTTTTAAATGTTTTTTAATATATTTAGAAAAGAAGCTATTTTGAATTTTGCAATCCTGTAACCATTGGCTTCTATAGTATTTGTTTTTCCTATTAATATTTTTAGAAAAGAAGCTATTTTGAAGAATGTTGCACAACTGTAACCATTGCCTTCTATAATATGTGTTTTTCATATTATTATTTATTAGAAAATAAGCTATTTTGAAAAATGTTATATGTCAAAAAGTCAATCCAACAAATGTTTTTGTTTCTTTAACGTGATTTAATAATAAGTTAATCAGTTTTTAAAAACATTTTTTATTATACAAAGTTAACGTTAAGCATAATATTTTTGCCAGTTTGATTTATGTAAGTTGAAATGATTAAAAGTTAAATTGATTCAACAAAATAATTTAACTGAGCATGAAAACCGAGTCTCTTTTATAAGATAAAACGCTGTTCCTCGAAACATAGTGAGCACCCTACCCAGAAAGCATTTCTGTGTGCATATGGAAACCAGTTTTGGTCTAATTGAAACGACTTTCCGTGGAAATAAATATACCTGAATAATACATTACTTCTGGATTCTTCTAACATGAGATTGGCTAAAATAGTGTGTTATTTCCCTTTAAAAGCCATAATAGACCAATGATACATTTATAGACATCCTAGTAGTCTATAGTAGGTAGGCAACTCACTAGAATTTGTGACACATCCACTGTTTGACTGTAGGATACGCGTGGCAGCAGAAACTAACGTTAAACAGAAGAAAAACGGTTACTTCAAATCAGTGTTTCGATAGACAGACAGATTAACGTTAGATAGATAGATAGATAGATAGATAGATAGATAGATAGATAGATAGATAGATAGATAGATAGATAGATAGATAGATAGATTAAGTTTTACCTGTAACGATAGAGCAGTAGAAGAGCAGAATCGCGCATAACGCAACATGTCCACATCTGCCCATATCCTTCATATGACAACCGTTAAAGCTAAACTTAACTTTAGCCTGAAATAATCGAGTCTTTCTTCCGTTGCTTCAGACTTAAATATAGAAACAAAAGTCCAGTGTGCGTGACAGTCGCCAACGGGTCGGCGGAGATGAATTCAGATGGCAGCTTGTTATCTTAATTTTCCAGCGTGACAGAAATAATCCAGTCAGATGATCATCAGAAGTGTCTGGAAGGAGAGTTTAGTTCATTCACTGCAGACCAAGAACGAGCTGAGGTCTTGTGGCGCGCTCCAGTGGTGGTGGGCGGGGCCGCGCCGCGGTGACGCGCGCACACAACAGCTGGAGCGCGGAATCCGAAAGGTTTAAAAATTAAATCCTTATTTCTTCAGAGTTAGTATGATAATAAAATGACTTTAGTTCGTGATATCTTTAGTGAAAATGGTATTTCGCTATCATATCATGAGTTCTTACAGTGGTTTAATTTTCCTGTCTCAAAGAATTCGCCATTGTCTTTGATGCTGTTCCTGCAGGAATTATTACACTGTTTAGGCTTGAACAGAACTCCATGTGTCACACCATCTCTTTGAGATCCGTTTGAAACAACAGTGGGTAAAGCTTGTCTTGTTCCAAACTCAACTAACAAATCAATCCGTGCATTGATTCAGAATGTTATTACCTACTGGAGCAATTTTACAAATATTTCAAATATCACCACACACATATCTTATATATTCTACCCAGTGAGTAGCTATTTAAATATATATATATATATATATAAACACACATGCAATGTGCGCTTTCTGTAATTTACAAAGTGAAACAACTGTACATTTATATTGGTACTGTTCCTACACAAAAAATTTATATATATATATATATATATATATATATATATATATATATATATATATATATATATATAT